CGCCCCCGCCTCCTCCCACCCCGCCTTCCCTAGGAACCCCCCGCCAAACGATTCGGCAGGGGTGGCGGAACCGGGTTGGGGGGGGGGGGCAACGAGGCGCGCGCGCGCGGATGGCCGCCGCGGCACCGCTCCTCCGCACACGGGACGAGCTCCCCGAAGCGGACGCTCCGGGGCATCGGGTCTGAATTTAGGGGGACGTAGGCGTTGGGGACAGCCACGAAGGACCGGCCCCGGTGCCTGCGACACCCCAGCCGCATCTCCGGCGGAGCTTCGGCGGCAGGGTGCCCCCCCGCCCCCCCCCCCCCCAGGGCTGCAGAGTAGGGAAAAAAAGGATGCTGCCCCTTTAAAATACAAGGCTTTTGGCCACATCAGGCTCCCGTCTGCCACCTCCATCTTGGTGATGCCATTTTGGATTGCCGCAACAGAAGGCTCCCCTGCCCCGGTGAGCACAAGGAGCCGGGGGCCGGATACTGTTTTTAGGGGTGCAGGGGCAGCTTCATGAGCTGCGCGGGAGGTATCACGAGCGTCACTTTAAGGGGAGAAGAGCTACATGTGGCTTGTGAGCCATAGGTTAGCCACCCCTGCTCTTTTAGATGCATGGGTTATAATAGCTCTACCTCACAGCTCTCCCTACTCTACCTGAGACCTGACTACCCTTCATGGAGCTGGTCTGTACAGATCCAGCTCCTAGCTCTGGTCTTCTGCTGCAGCTTCCCAGCTCTGCCTTAGCACTGCTTCTCCACCTGCACCCCATCTCTGGCCCCCTCAGGCTCCATTCCAGCTCTGTTTCTGCTCTGCCTCCATCTCAGCTTGAGGTGCTGCTCTGGGATGGCAGATTTGTATTGAGTGAAGAGCCCAAAATGATTGAAAAATGAACCCAAATGTGTCATTGAGTGTACAACCTAAACTGAAGAATGTTTTCCTAATGTTCCTTTTGCACCTTCTGGTGCTGCTTTTATCACAGTTGCACAGTCAACCCCTGGAGCTCCTTGTCATAGGATGTGGTGAAGACCTGGACTTTAACAAGGTTCAAAAAAGAGCTAGATAGATTCATGGAAGTTAGGTCCATCAATGGCTATTAGCCAGAATGGTAGGAATGGGATCCCTAGCCTCTGTTGGTCTGGAAATGGATGAAAAGAGAGCGATTATGTGAGGATTATGTGTTGTGTTCCCTCCCTCTGGGGCATCTGGTATTGGCCACTGTTGATAGACAGGCTACTGGGCTAGATGGACCTTTGGTCTGAGCCAGTACGGCCATTCTTATGATGGGTCATTGACTCAGAGAAATCCAGATTGGCTGGCAATCTATGTCAAAGAAAACAATGTGTGTTCTAATATAGCTGTATAGATATCTACCTCGAGATATTGGCCACTGTTGGCAGACAGGATACTGGGCTAGATGGACCTTTGGTCTGACCCAGCATGGCCATGCTTATGTTCTTATCAATTCCATGTGAGAAATTAGTCTTACAAATGTAGCATTGCTAAAAGGTAGCCACAACAAATGATAGAGGAAAGAAGCCAAGTTCACGAAAGGCTTTGTCTCCAAAATCATCCATGTGTTTTCATCCTTCAACTCCAAACGGTTCTACTTGGTTGTTATGAGTATGAGGCTAGTGAACCATGAGCAAAACTCACCACTGCTGCTCTCACTTTCCAACGTCTCGGCAAAACAATAGCTACAGTGCAATATCAGGCAAACAACATTGTGAAGGACTTTGTTTTGCGAGCAGTTTCATCCTCTTGATATTTGGTGGAAATCTCAGTGTTGTCTGTATCACAGACTCCAAGAAGAAATCTCAGCACCCACTTCTGATGTCTTGGACAACGGGAAGGGTTAGTGCATGTTTTGGGTGTTCCAGCTGAAAGCGACACCAAAATCGACTGCACAAAGCAGAAAGTTATTGGACTCCGCAGTGTATTTCCTGTGTATTTTAGAACCCCCTATAGGAGTCACTTAGCAATTTCACTCCAGGCACTGTCAGGAATTAATCAACGGGAATAGAGCCATTCTGTCTGATCAAGATTTAAATGCAATCAAGAATGCTCTTGTCCAGGGCTGGGCAAAATACGGCCTGGGTGCCGCATCCGGCCTGCCAACCCACTGGATCTGGCCCATGGACCACCCTGCCGGGACCCTCAGGCACATGTAGCTGCTGCAGTTTAAAACACAGTCCCTATGGGTCTCTGTGGGGTGGGGGAGCCTTTGTGTGATCTCCCCACCCCCAGCCCAATCCTCAGCTCCGATTGGCCAGAAACAATCAGCCAATAAGTCCTGACCTCTGCCAATCTCTCCCCTCCTACTCACTGGAAACAGCCAGCCAATCGGAGCAGAGAGATTGGCCTGAGCGACTGGGGCAGCGCAAGCCTCTTCTCCCACCCCAAGTGAAGAGCCATGTGCTGGAAGCAGCCTACATTTTCAGGTGGGCTGGGTCTGCAGCAGACAGGGAGCACAGCCTGCCTTGGGGGTGCTGCAGGTCTGCTGGTTTAGGTAAGCGCCTCCCAGTCAGAGCCTGCCTCTGGCACCCCTGCCCCTCCTGCACTCCAATTCCCTCCCCCAGGTTACCATCCACACCTGCCCCAGGTCACACTCCCTCCCTGACCCTACATCCCAACCCCCTGACCCAGGTCACAACCCCCTCCTTCACCCTAACTCCCTCTCAGACCTCACACCATCTCCTGCACCCCAGTCCCTTACCCCGTGTGCCCTTCTGCCCTCCAACCTAGACCCCACATTTCTTCCACAGAAGAGTGCAGCCCTTGGCCACTTACCAAAATCTTGGCGTGCCCCCCCCCCAAAATGATTGCCCACACCTCTTGTCTAACACTGAAGTTTGTTTGATTTAAGCATCCATGGACATGAGCAATAAGTTTAGAAGCCCCCAGATATTTACTTAATGTGTGGAACAATATTAAGTAATTAACATCAGGTTCACAGTTGAAGCAAAATGCAGGACAATGTAGCACTTTAAAGACTAACAAGATGGTTTATTAGATGATGAGCTTTCGTGGGCCAGACCCACTTCCTCAGATCAAATAGTGGAAGAAAGTAGTCACAACCATATATACCAAAGGATACAATTTAAAAAAATGAACAAATATGAAAAGGACAAATCACATTGCAGAACAGAAGAATTTCTACAAAACAGATAGGTCATAGTGATCATACCAGATCATTATTTTTCCTAACTTTTGATAAACTTCCCAAAGGAAACTAGACTTAAGGTTTTTATGCATTTATCCTTGTTCATTCTCATTTATTTACTTGCTGGTCCCCTCCTCCCATTCTCATTAACAGAAACTGTCAACTACATTTTCACTTCCCTTTCCAATTGCCCCTCAAGTACTTGGTGTTCTAGTTTATTAATTCACAGTAGCTGAATGCACATCAGATGGAGGCAATTGGGTTGACCACTAATTGGGGTCCTCTTCCCTCAAATCCAGAGTAACACATTCCAGTTCTCAAAAATACAGTTTAATGACTCTCTCCGATAAACTCTAGTAGAAAGTCCTCAGTTCATGCAGCAGCTGTATTAGCACTTTCCACCTATACTATTTTGTTTAAACACCAGGCTTCCTATAGGTTTGGATGTAGACAAATTAGGTAAATTTTCCTCACCAGATCACTGTATATAGGATGAAGAAGCTAAGCATTGCAATTTCTTTATTTTTTTCCTAACAAAAAAGTGTACCTTCTGTTTATCAAATTGATCAAGAACGTTTATCACACAGGGTCTAAGAGAAATCCAATTTGCCACCAGTATCTTCTGGTGGTCTGAAAGTAAATGAAAGGATGACGAGCTACCTAGACTCTGAACTCCCACAATGCTGAGGTTAGCCAAATTGGGACAGAGAACCCCTTATTAATGTTCAAATATCCATTGTCCCACAGGTATAAAATCAATGACCCTCAGGTATGCAAATTCTACAGGCATGTTTGCTCACTTTGTCCCGAAGCTCTTTGTTTTTCACCCCATAAATGATGGGGTTGAGCATGGTGGGGAGGAGGAAATAGAGGTTGGCCAAGACGATGTGAACATAGGGAGCAATGCCCTGACCAAACCGGTGTGTCAGAGTAGAGAAGAAGAAGGAAGGATAAGACGTGAGCATCACACAGATGTGGGTGGTGCACGTGTTGAGGGCTTTCAGGTGGGCTTTCTTGGAGGAGATTTTGAGGACAGCCTGGATGATCAGACTGTAGGACAGGGCAATGAGTGTCAGGTCTACGAAGTTGATGACAAATGGTACCACCAAGCCATACATCCTGTTAACAGTGATATCCCCACATGACAGCTTTGCCACAGACATGTGGTCACAGTACGTATGGGGAATAATGCGGCTGGCACAGAACGGCTGTTTACTCAGAAGCAAGGGCAGGGGCAAAACAACGAGAACAGCTCTTAACAAACCCGCTAGTCCTAGTTTAGCTATTCGTGCATTGCTGAGGATGGTGGTGTATCTCAGAGGGTTGCATATGGCAACGTAGCGATCAAAGGCCATGGTCACGAGGACGGCTGAGTGCATCACAGAACCTGCATGAAGGAAGAACATCTGTGTGAGGCAGCCAGGAACACTAATGACTTTCAAATTGAACCAAAATATACACAGGGCCTTTGGCATCACAGATGTAGATGTGCCAATTTCAGTGAGTGCCAGCATGCAGAGAAGCAGGTACATTGGCTGGGGGAGGGTTTGC